TGGTCAGCAAAAATGCCTATCTCGGGTCTTTCTTCTCCTGTATTCTGACAGTGAACTCTGAATCCAAGCTCAGGACATTTACCCATATTAAATTTTAGTGGCATTTTCAAAAGCCATTAAGTGAGGAAAGGCTGATAATAAAGACATTACAAAATACAGCTTTCTTGCTCGGGCTTTTTTCTGGCCTGCAAGTATGAAAACCATATGTTCAGTCCCAGGTAGCTGTGCAATATGAAATCAAAACTGGGTAATACCTTTCCAGCTTCATCTTCTGCCACTCACCCCCACGTTCCCAAGCTGAAGGTGCCTGAATTGTCCCCAAAATATGCCATAGTCATTCAGGTCTCCAGTCTTAGCAAATGTCTTTCTAGAAAGCCTTTTCTCAGCTTGGCCTTGGACAAAACTTCACTTTCTCTATAAGCTGTCCCAGGTGGAATCCAGCACTTTCTTTTTTCCCTGGCTCCAGAATATGGACACCCTGTGCCACTGTTCACACCTCCACCTTCTTTCCTGGTCTAGGATTTCCCTGAAGGCGGGGACAGTAACTTACTTAAATTTGTATTCACCCAGGACTTAATATTCAATCAAGAAGTGAATATCTAGGTTGAGGACTGTATTACAGCAACTACTCGGTAGTTCCTAAGACGAGAACATCAAAATTTAAAACCTGTCTCACTTGCCCTTGAAAATGGAGGTAACTACAGCATTTAGTTAATGACTCACAACTACCATCTGCAATTTTAATACCTAAAAAGAAAGAAAAACAAAAATCTCAAAATAAAAAGATCGGTCCTTTACTATTATTAAGAAATTCATTGAGCCTAGCTGGCATGGCTCAGCGGTTGAGCATGGACCTAGGATCAAGGAGATGGAGGTTCGATTCTGGGTCAGGGCACATGCCTGGGTTGTGGGCTCGGTCCCCAGTAGGGGGCCTGCAGGAGGCAGCCGATCAATGACTCTCTCTCGTCATTGATGTTTCTCTCTCTCTCTCCCTCTCCCTTCCTCTCTCTGAAATCAATAAAAACATATTAAAAAACACACAAAAACTCATTGACATTACCTATGTTTTTCCTTTCACACTAGGTAAAAGGATGCTTAGCGTTGGTCCTCAGATGTGTTTGTGGGACCCCTTAGCTATTTTATCCTGAAAGAAAGGTTTCTCCATCTGATCAGTCACCAGCTGTCTAGAAGAGAAAGGGACTCTACTGCCAATCTCAACTCCTTCCTAGATGAAGATGGAGAAGAGTCTTAAGTGAAAGAATATATTCAGACTAAAAAGGGGGACATTAGTGTGAGTTCCCAGAGGAAGACAATATCACAGCAAAAAAAAAACCCCAAATCCAAAAGCAAACAAAAAAACCAGGGAAAACATGTGTCAGGTAAACTGAGTCAAGAAAAGCTAATACTAGAACTCAGTTATCTCAGGCTAGAAATTTTCTTTCTTTTTTTCTATTTTGCTCTCGGTTTTTTTATAATTTCTATATGCTATTTCCTGTTTTTACTTTTATTTTGTTTTTCCCATAGTTGCCTAGCAAAGCTTCTTCTGAAAAATTCCAGGCTAGTCTCTGCTGAACCAAGGGGATTTGTCCCTACCTAAGCCAACATTGCTAAGAAGTGAGGGTGCCTCCGGGGACCAGGTGTGGTGGCAGCAGAGTGATGGGGGGGTGCGGACAGCTGCAGTCGCTGAGCCCTCCCGCCCCCGGTTTTCCCTTACATACACTAATGAGAAATCCATATGCTGCAGTAGGAAAATGCAGCGTTTCTTTCCCATTTTTCCATTTTGGTCCAATTTCTTGTTCCTGACTTTCTAGTACCAACCGCAAAGGAAAATTATTTGTGCTCACTCTAAGCAGAGCACTGTAGGTTTTATGGAACTCCCATACTTTTTTCATTAAAATTCTTGCTTTGGGGTGACTGTTTTTTGACCTACTGACCAACTGGCTTTTTTTCAATTACATAAACAGGATGGGATGGTGGAATGTGAGAGAGCTGGAAAAGAAGCCGTTTCAAGGAAAACCATTCATTCGACAAAGCCTTATTGGGCACCAATCATTCATTCAGTCGACATGCACTGGGTGCCGTCTAGGAGTCAAGCACTGCTGGGGACCCAGACGTGAAAAAGACAGTCTTTGCCGTCCAGCTCTCCCTGATGCTGGAAAGAAAGGCAAGTGAACAGATGCCACACTGCCGGACAAACAAGCAGAGGGGGCAACAGGAGTGTGTAAGATTGGCCCCTAATCCAGACCGGAGTCCAGAGCTGTTTCCTGAGGGTGAAATCTGAGGGCTGAGCTAGTTAGTTAGCTAAGGGAGTAGTGGGTGGGAGCTTTAGGGTAGACACAAAGCAGACAAAACTTATGGCCCTCTTTGAGGGCAACCGTAGGGTGCCATATGGGGTAAATGAGGTTGGAGAGACAGACAGGGGCAGATCATAAAGGGGGCTGTATCCATTCTAAGAAACCAGGATTTTATCCTGTGGATAACTGGTTCTCAAACAAGGGCAATTTTTCTCCCCCTGCCCCAGGGACAACTGTCAATGTCTGGAGAAATCCTAGGTTGTCAGAACTGGGTGGTGGGTGGGCTACTGGCATCTAGTAAGCAGAGGCCAGGGATGCTGCTAAATATCCTACAATGACAGGAAAGTCCTCACAACAAAAAATCAGCTGGCCCAACATGTCAACAGTGCTAAAGCTGAAAACCCTAGTGTAGATGATGGGAAGTCACTGAAGACAGTCTGAGGAGGAGTGATAAGATTATATTTCTGTTTTAGAAAGATCACTCTGGCAGCACTCTGGAGAACCAATAGGATCACAGTCAAGAATGGACACACAAGAATCAGTTAAGAGGTGGTTGTGCTAAGAGGATTTATGGTGCTAAGGAAGTAGCAGTAGAGATGGCAAGGAAGAGAAAATTTCAAGAAATCTTTAAGATATAGAATCAAGATGACTTAAAACTGACTAGTGTAACAGGGGGAGGGCAGTGATACCATTTCCCCAAAAAGGAACTTAGGGAGGAAGCAGATATTAAAAACATGCTGTGTTCTATTTGGAGCGTGTTGAGTATGAGGCATCTGTGGGTTATCCAAAATGCAAGTGGTGAGCTGGCTATTTGGGTCTGGAGATCAGGAGAGATCTGGGCTAGAAAAAACAAGATTTGGGGGTTGTCAGCATACAGGCAGCAGGGGAAGCCATTGGAACGGACAAATCACTGTCGGAGAGTATGCAGCCTAAGAAAACCCCACCATTTAAAGTCACGTGGAGAAAAGTGTCATGGATGAGACTCACAGAGACCAGAAGAAAGTGGGTCATGAAAAGTAAAAGCAGAGTTTCAGGAAAAAGGGAGTGGCCAACAGTGATGTGGGCGGTGGACACAGACAATAGTGTGAAGGCTGGGGCGGGGGGTGAGTGCAGAGTGGAAGGGGTCAATGGTGCAAAAAAGGGAACATCTGTAATACTTTCAATGATAAAGATAAATTAAAAAAAAAAAAAAGAATGCACATCGAATAAGAGAACAATGGAAAAGTGAATTTGAACTGAGTAAAGCAGGACATTGCTGACGACCCTGGTGAAGCTGGTTACAGTAAGCCGACAGGAGAAGCAAAGACAGCAGGTTGGGTATATGAGAGGGCAGGTAGGAAAGGACAGTAGCCAGGTGGTGTTTTTTTTCTCCCCTTGATACTTGCTAAGGAATAGTTTTTATTATTGTGTTTTGGAAAAAAGAAAAGATCTGAGGATGTTTATAGGCTAATGAACTAGATAGGAAAGGTTGAAAATGAGGCAGGGAGGTATGGAAACAGGGAGAGGATGAGGCCCAGAGCCCAGGTGGAAGGGTCAGCTTTGAATTTACTACATTTAAGATAAAGATATAAGATAGGTGGTCATGATAAAGCTCTCATTAGGAGAGAGAAGTTGAGAAAGCTCATGTCTGTGGTATGATAACAGGTTCTTTGAGGGCAATCAAAAATGCCTTCGAGAGTTTACATTCTAGGAGGGTCAAAAGATAACATCCTGCCTTAGCCAGTTTGGCTCAGTGGTTAGAACGTCGGCCCTTGAACCGAAGGGTCCCAG